TTTCTGTTCAAAACCTTAAAATTTCTTCATGTTCCCCTATATTTATTAAACAATTAAAAAAATACATATAACACTGCAAGCAAACCTTTGGAGTGTTGTATTCGATTGATTGGTTTTTCTTCCAGCAAGGAAACATAAATTCCTCTGGAGTTCACCCCGCCCACATAGACTCAAGCAAAGCATCCCACAGCACCATTTCGTTGTCAAGAAGAAATTTCTCAGAGTTTACCAATACGTGCTTGCAATGATAATCCCTTTTTGCAATTATTGTGGACAATTTAATCAATTTAATTCAAATGTTCCAAGATTAACTGCAACCTAACAGACCTAAGCAAAGCAGCCCACAGCTACATCTGGGGCTCAAGGAGAAATTTCCCAGAGTTTGATTATTTTTTTTACACAGTTTCTCAAATTTGACCAGAGTGTTTATCCAATGATAATTCCTTTTTGCAATTATTGTGGACAATTTATCAATTTAATTCAAGGTTCCAGGATTAACTGCAACCTAACATGGGCGTAGCAACAGTGTCTTCCATGCATATTTCTGCGTTTAGCCATCCAGTCTTCTGACTTCGCTACGCAACCTCTACTGCCACCTTGTGGAGCAAGCGACACTAACAGGCATATTTTTGCGTTTAGCTTCCAAGTCTTCAGACTTCGCTACGCATATTTCTGCATTTAGCCCTCGAAGTCTCAGACTTTGCTATGCAACCTCTAGTTCCCCCTTGTGTAGCAAGCACACATCGCACCCTAGAAACTGCTATACTGTGTGCTGTGCTAGCATCGCCCAGACTCTGCAACTCCACCTACGTGCTGAAGTATTAAATCCAGCAGCAATTCTACTTTCTGCTACCTGCTTTCAGCACACCCTACAAAAAAAGGGAATTACATGGAAAATCACTAAATTTTCCAAAAGTCACCTTTTACCAATTTGAAACATGGTAACTGCTTCAGCCATGACGGATGTCCCTGAAGTACCAGAGGACTTGAACCCTCCACCCACCCTTGCTGTAAATATGGAGCCTGTTCCCGAAACCCAGTTTCAGATGTCCAAATCTCTACGGAAGCGGCGATACCTCCGAAAGCCTACACCCTCAGAAAGAGTAAGAAGCTTACGAAACCCATGGAAGAACACTTGAGGAACGATTGGGAGAAGCAATATCGCCACTACACAGACTCCTGGGTGGAGCTTGAGAAGATCTGTGATGCCTCAAAACACAAGCTGCCCCCCGAGAAACTCCACACATTGCTAATTGATCTAGATGCCCTTCTCGCACGGTGGAGATGCAGCGAAGAGAACATCAAGTCCATCCAGTCAAGACTGGGTGACCCCAAACTCCTACAACATGTCCAATGCTTCAAGGAGTTTCACAAGGGATGCAAAGACTGTGTCGAGGCAAGCAAGACAGCCCTCCAGGCAGCGCTCCACAATGCACTTCGGCAGGAAGTAGCATCAAGGGAGCAGGCCACATCTGATATAGCTCCTCAATCACATGTGCCTTCTTCCCACCACTCTAAGAAACCCTCCTCCCTCCATCCCAAATCGGCTAGATCACAGGCAGGTTCCAGTGTCTCGCGCCAATTCTTTGCTACCAGCTCTCACCATCCTTCCAGAGCATCCTCCCATCGTAGTGGTGCATCTAAGGCCTATGAGGCAGCCAGCTATGCCAAACGAGCTGTAGAAGCCAAGTTGAAGCTGCAGTAGCAGAGGCAGATTTGCGTATTACGACAGAGGTGATACGGCAGAAAGCTGAAATGGCCAAAGCTCAGGCCCAAGTGGAGTTACTTAGGCCCAAGTGGACTTACTTACAAAGAGAGACAGCAATGAAAACAGCACCAGCCGCAGCATGACAGAAGGCGGCCAATGCTGCTTCCCTCAACTTTGACCTCAAAGAGTTGGGAGAAGAGAGCCCAGATACACGGTCAAGGCCTACATGGATGAGCAGCACTCGCTTCGAAATGAGCAGGCAGAACTGCCTCTGATACCTAGAAGTCTCCCACCACCAAGGGAATACAGGGAGGAATCTCAACCAGAGACTCTACACATCAGTTATGCAACTGACGTTGTACGACCTAAAGTACGAGATTCACTTCCCACCAACAGCGAACCTTTCCCAACTGATGTTGTATGTACCAAGGTCCAAGATTGTCTTCAGGATACAGAATAGAGGGGAAAGATGTATTCAGAGTTGCAAGATTCTATTACTGTAACCTTGCAATAAAGGCAGGGGTGGGCTCTTGGGGGCTTGCAGGGGCTCTGGTGAGTCCCTAGCTAAGACTCTGTGGGGCTCAGAGAGCTCCCAATAACCTCAGAAAGACAAGCAGCAAGGGAAAGCTCTTAATAGGCTTAATTGAACTTCTGGGCATTCAGCCAAGAGCATTTCACACTTCATAAAACTGTTGCAAGCTAGATAAACAATCCACTCAGCGAGAGCCATTGAAAAAATCAGATAACATAGCCAAAAGCCTCCAAGGGGATTAATTCCCAAATAATAAGAATCACGTAACTCAGAAATAATAAGAATCACGTAACCCAGAAACTCCAAGATTCCTCTCACAGTCACTGTTATTAAGCCTGGTTTCACTTAGTCTTTTATTTAAGTATTAAATGCACAAAACATTAAACAACTTTTTGGTAGATATCCTTTTTAGGTAATTAGGACAAAGAAGTGACGTTGAGTTGGCCATACCCGCCCAGTCACATGACCACCTAGCCATGCCCACACAATCACATGACCATCCAGCTATGCCCACCCAGCCAGTCATTAGGGCAGAGATCCCCTTGCTAAAAAAATTGAAGCCCACCCCTGAATAAAGGAGTATATTGACCTGCATGACCTGAGTTTCTTAGGCTAATCCACCTTGAAAGGCTGAGACTGGCCTAGGAGCATGGACTCAAGGAATTTCAGCCTTTCTTTCCTCCTTTTGACAAATAGTCCAATTTCACAAGAGATGAACAATAAAAGTTTACTGACAAGACATCAGCTAAGATGATAGGTAGCCCTTGTTTAAAAAATATTCATTCAAACATTCAAAGTTATGATGGGACTGAATGAGGAGGACCACCTCACATGTCACAATATATTGCAGTCACATGATTGCTACTTGTGACCTTTGCTGTTGATTTCCGACAAGCAAAGTCAATGGGGAAGCCAGCAGGAAGTCTCACATGCTGAGTACATGGCTATGGGACATTGTAACCTTTGCAAGATTCATCAAACAACTGGGACTGTGAGAATTGCTGTCATAAGTTCAGCGTGGTCATGTAATGTCACACTTTAAATGCAGTCACTTAGCAACAGAGTTTCCAATTCCAATTACTGTTGGTAATTGAAGACTACTGCTGTACAAACCTCTATTTACTATAAAAAGACTACAGGTAGTCCTCAACTTCCAACCACAGTTGAGCTCAAAATTGATGTTGCTAAGTGAGAAATTGGTTAAATGAGTATTGTCCCATTTTACGACTTCTCTTGCCATGTTTGTAAATAGAATCACTGCAGTTGTTAAGTTAGTAATGCGGTTGTTAAGTAAATCCAGCTTCCCCATTGGCTCTGCTTGTCAGAAGGTCTCAAAAGAGGAATCACATGACCCTGGGAATTCTGCAACCGCCATAAATGTGAGTTAATTGTCAAGCATCTGAATGTAAATCATGTGACCATGAGATGCTGCAATGGTCATAAGGGTGAAAATTGATTGTAAGTCGCTTTTTTATTGCCATTGTAACTTCGACCAGTCACTAATCTAATTAGACATTTTCGATTGATCAAAATCCTTCAATATTAATTAGTTTAAGAGATATTCTCTGAAGTCACAAATGACATTAAATCATTGTGTGGATTTCTCTCTAAACATATTTGAAAGGTAGGAAAGTGTTTATGTTTTGACGCAAAATCACATAGGAAACTAATGCTGAATTATCCAAATTTGAAAATAGAGAAGAGGATCTTCAGCTTGAATATCTGGGCCAAACAAAGGATAAATACCTTGTTAGTTGATTTTTAGTAGTTGTTTTAAATATTTTGAGGGACTGTATTCTGAATATGATTTACCCATAACATCTGTTTGGCAGTATATATTGTTGAAACATGTACTGACAAAACAGCACAATCCAGATGCTTTTAGCAGTTTTAGAAGTACCTGGAGTCTTGAGATCCTTAAAAGATGCAGCACTTAAAATGAACCCAACAATTCAGTTTTATATGAATTTAAAAAATAGAAGGATGACTAGCTTTAATTACATATCTGTATTGTGGAATGAAGAATTGGAATATCCAATTTTGGAAAAATCAAGGTGCAGCTTTTTTTAAAAAAATAATCATAATTTTTAATAAACATAATTATTTTTAAGAATTTAAGAAATTCAACATAACATTATTTGATGTCTACCAGACTTCTGAAAGTTTTAAAAATGTTGGACATTAGATTTTTTTGTACTGGCATTATAAATACTTTTAAAATCATTTTGAAAAGAAATGGAGTGTAAATGAAATATTTATTATATTCCTAAAACAAGGAATTTGGTGTTTTATGAAGAGGTTTGGCTATATTCTAAACCTAGGTTTTGGTAAAGTGTATAATTTAAATAAAGCTTATCTTCCTGATATGAGTCCGCATATTGATTCAGCATATGAGTTCTGTTGTCTATCTTTGAAATCTTTTTATTCCAAAAATAAGAAGGTGAAGCAATAGGTTTCTATATGGTCTAGATTTAATCATAAGAACTGAAATAATCTCGTTTCAACATAGAATGGATTTTACATGCATTTGGATCTTTTAAAATTAACTTTTTATTTTCTGTTCTGTTACATTTATTTTCATCATTATATATATTATACTAAGTACCCTTTTATGTTGATGTTGCACTTCTCTGTATTTCAGCATTTTTAAAAATTTAAAAATATTTAAATTTCATAACCTGAAGATGAACTCGATTCATCAGATGGTTTTCCTTTAATATTGATTTCAATTCTATTCTGATTTTTCTCCTCCCGTTCCAGTCTCCATGGGGGCCTGTCAGGGGAACTTCAGTGATCTGTCTGGAGTGATCTACTCTCCTCAGTTCCCAGATGACTATGAAGCCAACAGCAACTGCAGCTGGGTCCTTTATCCTGCAGGTTGTGATTCTATAGAGCTCAGCTTCCGGATCTTTGACGTTCGTGATCCAAACGACCACCTAGAGGTCCGGGATGGACATAGCAATCTTTTACTGGCCCAGTTTGATGGGCGCCGAAGGCCAGCTGTACCTCTGCTGTTCCCCACGGACTGTCTTTCTCTCTCCTTCCAATCAGACCAGTTTCTGCAAGCCCAAGGCTTTGCCATCTTGTATCGAGGTAGGCACGGAACTTTGGCTTCCTGGATGATGCTGTCACCTGACTAAAATGTTAGAGGAAAGTTCTAAAACTTACCTGATGATGTTCCATAGGAGCTCTTTCTCTCTCCCCCTCCCCTTCTGTCTCCCAAGTGGCCCTGCTTACAGAGGGGGACAGGGGCAACCATCTTAGTAAGGGAAATGAAGTCAACTTTTCAGGCAATGTAACCATAGACGCCTATGACCTGCGTGGTAAATTGTACTCACTTGTACTAGTGACATCTTATCCTTGCATTCTGGGCTCAATCCAATGCCTTTTGTGCTTGTTTCCCAAATTAGTAGAACCTAGATCCACATGTATTAGGAATACAGATGTTCTGCCTTGGAAAATATTTCAGGATTCCTTGAGAAACTCCAGAAATCTATTACCCAGATCTATTGCTATCTGGCCTATATGAAACATGTTTCTTCCTAAATCAATCAATCAATCAGGATAGAGCTGGAAGGGACCTTGGAGGTCTTCTAGTCCAACCCCCTTCTCAAGCAGGAGACTCTATACCATTCCAGACAAGTGACTGTCTAGTCCCTTCTCAAAAACCTCCAGTGATGAAGCATCTACAACTTCTGAAGGCAAGCCGTTCCACTGGTTAATTGTTCTCACTGTTAGGAAGTTTCTCCTTAATTCCAGGTTTTTTCTCTCCTTGATTAGTTTCCATCCATTGTTTATTGTCCTGCCCTCCGGTGCTTTGGAAAATAAGTTGACCCCTTCCTCTTTGTGGCAGCCTCTCAAATACTATTATCATGTCACCCCTAGTCTTTCTTTTCTCCAGACTAGCCATACCCAATTCCTGCACCCATTCTTCATCTGTTTTAGTCTCCAGGCCTCTAATCATCCTAGCTACTACTATTCTCTGCACTTTTTCCAAAGTCTCAACATCTTTTTTGTAATGTCCCCAATTTTTTAAATTACATTTTTTCTAATTACATTTTTACATGTAGTGTAAGTAATTTTTGTAATATCCCCAAAGGTTCATGTAGGCCAGTTTCTCTTGACATCCCTTTGAATCTTTCTGTAGCCCGTGATCAGTAATCTGGCTGTGTCACCAGAGATCTCTTTTAATAGAGATGGGCAGAGATGAATTTGCAAGGTTGCGGGGACACAATTGTCCCAGGCTTTCACAAGGTATGGTTTGGTCGTTGAAATGAGTGGTTTTCATCAGTAGTTGTCATCTCAGTAATAAGAAGAAAAGCTAAATCGATATATTGTGCATTGTGAAGGAAAGGTCAAATGGACATTTTGCTTTTGAGCGTCTCCAAATCTTAAAGATGCTTTGAACTGGCTCCTTTTGCAGTGAAGTTTTTGTTTGGTTGGCTGATTTAAATTCTTGTATTTTATTCAATCTTCTTCTAAAGCAGCAGTCCATAACTTCCACTAATTGAAAAATGGTCTCTGTATGGGGAAGACTCTAGGCCAGTTCCAAAAAGTTACTAATGAGCTGCATTTCTTGCATTTGTGCAACCTGCTCTTGCTACAGCTCTCATCATGGCAAAATTGGTAAGGCTGGTGTTACTGTTTTAACATATGAAGAAAGCCTGAGATTTTGATAAGAAGTTAAGTTGAAAATCCACTGTAAAGTCCTTTGTGATTCATGATTCTGATTTCCTTCCAGGATTGAAAGCTTCCTCTGTCAATTTACGGACCTTTCCAGGGGATGGATCCCGTCTGATCCCTACCTCTTCTGATTGGCTGAATTCAACATGGACCTACAGTGCCAATGACTCTGCCATTGGGGTAGGAGGTAAAGGACTAGATTGGATGGGATGTATTATACTATGAAGCTGTTATATGTTATATAAACAGATTCTTTGACACTGCCTTGGACCAAGGAACCCTTTGAGCCATTCTAGTTATACCCTTAAATTTACAATATTTGAAAGAGAGGAATTCGAAGCAGATAATTCATTTGCAAGATGAAATGTACTTAATTCTTTTTCCTATCTATTTCTTTCGTCTGAATCTAGGGTGAGCCAATTGTATGTACCACTGTTTGGCATACATCTTCAGACTCAGTTTTTTTTAGAATCACCAGATCACAGTGCTTAAAACTGCCCTTGTCTGATTTTGCTCTCAAAATATGCTTAAAAGATGAAGCATACCAAGGTTTAATCCACTTTTTTTTTGCATTTTAAAGCCTTTTTAAAGCCTTCCAGATGTGGAAAAATGTAAAGCTAAAAATGTTGCCTGCCCATCTTCTTCCTGTTATAATTTTATTTTTAGTTAAAATTACCCACCCACCCCCAAAAAATCCAAAAAACCAAAACACAAAACAACCAAGGCATTTTAAAAGCCCATTAAAAAGAATTTTTAAACCGCCCAACACATATACACATATTATTCCCCCTTCTGAATACTGACTAATACATTAATATATTCCATCCATCTTCTAAGTCATTGTTTCTCAATCTCACGACCTAGAAGATTTGTGGACCTTAATGTCCAGAATTCCCCAGTCAACAGCATTGGCTGGAGAATTCTGGGTGTTGAAGTCCATACATCTTCAAGTTGCTGAAATTCAGAAGTACTGTTCTAAGCAGAGCACTCTTTCAGCATTTTCTCCCACAGATGATGATGCTTGGATATTTTCAAGGCTTATAATTTGGAACGGATCAATAAGTATGGATGGAAAGCAGATCCCCAACCTTGTATCCTACCTAATGATTCTTTGCAGAATTTTTCTTTCTCATAAATAATTCCTGGCTGAAACAAAGAAACAAAATCCCACTGAGGTGCTCTAAAACTTATTCCAAAAGTATCTAAAACATATTTTTCAAATGGAAAATAAGAACAATTGAGGAATGGGTTCTTTTCACATTTTTACACAAACTATTCCTTCTTCCTCAGATTATGAATTGCAGCAAGGCTATCTACAGGTAGTCCTCGATTTATGACCACAATTGAGCCCCAAAATTGTGCTTGTTAAGTGAGACATTTGTTAAGTGAGACATTTGTTAAGTGAGTTTGCCCCATTTTACAACCTTTCTTGCCACAGTTGTTAAGTGAATCACTGTGGTTGTTTAGTTAGTAACATGGTTGTTAAGTGAATCTGACTTTCCCATTGCCAAAAGCTTGCAAAAAGTGATCATGTGAACTTGGGACACGGCAACAGTCATAAGTATGAAACAGCTGCTAAGAATCTGAATTTTGATCACATCTTCATGGGGATGCTACAAAGTTTTAAGTGTGAAAAACAGTCATAAGTCACTTTTTTCAATGCCTTTATAACTTTGAACTGTCATAAATGAACTGTTGTAAGTCGAGGACTACCTGTATTCTTTCATTGCCACACATTTGGAGTGTGTATTTTTCTAAACAAGTTCATACCAGGTAGTCCTCAACTTACGATCTGTTGCTTAGCAACAGTTTGAAGTTATAATAGACCTCCTGGAGGGGGCTACTTCTGACCAGATTCAGAGTTCTGATTATTGTGCTCCCCATAGTCATGTGACCCAACTTTGGGTGCTCACAAACCAGGTCCCATTTATGGTTTTTGCAACGTCCCGTGGTTGTACAACTGCAACTTTGCCAAAACCCAACATTTGCCTTTGGGTTTTGGCCAATTACACCCACAGTAAATCATTGCTTCACTAAATGACTGTGGTGTTTCATTTAATGACTAGAGCAAAAAAAGATCAATTTTGTGACAGATCCCTTTTTATGATCGTCATGACTTCTGACCATCATGGGCAGCTCCATTATGGTCATAAGTCAAGAACTGCCTGTAAAGAAATATTAGAAAGACAATAGGTAATTATTTAAATATATCTAGTGCTCTGTAAAATTAGACACAGGATAAACAAACAAACAAACAAAAAACACTGGAAAAGGATACAGTCATTGTAAACAGGTAATAGTGGTTATGGAGAAGAAACAGATTGATGTGCAGCTCAGCTTTTCCTAATATGGTCTCGCTCCAGATGTGCCAGCATAGCAACTCTCCTAATTCTGAGACTGTCTGGGCAAACTGGGGCATCACAGTCTTGCAATGGACCACTGCAGCAGCATTTATCACCTGTGGCAACTTGAAAATATATGGACTTCAACTCCTAGAACTCCCCAGCCCCAGTTCTGTGAGTTGAAGTCCACACATCTTCAAATTGCCACGATTGAGAACCATTGAACTAGAGATGACCTCTTCCTCTCATTTTGATATTTGTTTCATTTTATTTTATTTCTATTCTGCCTTTATATATAACTCAGGGTGGCAATCATATTCAACACACCTTCCTCCTGCTTTTTCTCACAAGAACAACCCTGTGAGGTGGGTTGGGCTGAGAGAGAGGGTGTGATTGGCCCAAAGTCATCCAGCTGACTTTCATGGCTAAAGTGGTACTTGAAGTCACGATTTCTTGCTTTCTATCCTTGTGTCTTAACCAGTGGTGGGATTCAACCAGTGTAACCACCGGTTCAGTGAGCGTGCTCTTTGCCTGCACAGCGTTTTAAAAACAGCCATTTCCAGCTAAAACTTACCTCTGCTGCAGACTGGAGAGTGAAACAGCTGAGGCGTGGTAATCTGCTGTGCCGCGTGAATCAGCTGGGCTTCAAAAGAAGGAAATAAAGGATAGACTAGGGCAAGGGCAGGTGGGCGGGGCCAACGGATCGCCAGAACTACCAGTTCACACAAACTGGTCCGTACTGCAGAATTCCACCCCTGGTCTTAACCATTGAACCAAACTGGTTCTCTTTGCATTTATTTACACATATATACTTTATATATGTATTATGTACTTTAGATCAGTCTCTTTTTGATCAAAATTGGGTGAACGAACGAACCCAGGATTTAGCAAATAACCTCTTATTTGGGAGAAGACTTTGAATCTATTGCATGGGAAAATAACAAAAGCAAGATAAATCAGAACTCTATGCAGGAAAACAGGGCACGGTGATGCACATAGAATGCAAAGTTAGCAAGTTTGTAGATATATGCTTATTTGGCATTATCTTTTCTGCTGCCTTTATGGGAAAGGGAAAGAGTGGTTTGGAAAACTCCCTTTTTGGCTTCTGTTCAGCCTCTGCCTTACCTGACTTCAGTTCTACTAAGTGTTGCTCTGCCAGTTCAAATCTATCTGTTAAACCAGAGGGACTAACAAGAGCACACCAAGCCAGAGCCAAAATTTCTCAGCTTGGCATATACTTCCATGACGCAGTCAAAGAAGAATGGAATGCACGCTGTCAATAGAAGGGGCCTTCCTTTGGCTATGTTCCTTTTTTGGCTTGTGTTCATGCAAACCTGCATGTGTGTATATATACATACATAGAAGTATACTGGGCCACACATATTTTCATGGCAAGTATCTCTATTTTTGAGGTTTGTGCCACATTCTTAGGAAGATTAGCATCAGTAAATCACTCCTCTTGTCCATCAGGCTATCTGGGATTTAATATAATTAGTCATCTTCTAGCTTTCTGTCTCCTCCAGAATAATGAGGTTGCTGCTGTGCATTACCCACCCCATCTGGAAGACATTGGCACCATTCAGTATATATTAAATTTGGCACCACCTAGTGGCAGAGGCTTTGCAGTTATAGAGAAGTCGACGGGGGCTTTAAAACTGCCCCAGTTAGGCCAAAGGTAACCTGGCTTGGAGTTCTGTGATCACTTCTTAATTTATTTTAGTGGCAGGAAATTAAGGCACTTTAATTCCAATACATTTGGAAGGCACCAGGTTGAGGAGGCTGTTGTGTTTAGCATGATATTGAATTAATGGTTCAGTGTTTGTTGAAGCCTCCCCATTGATTTCTTCTGTTCTTTTGTGTCACAGCTTGGGTGATGTACACGGCCACAGGGACCTTCATCTTAGCCATCATCATTGTCTCATACCATTTGCGCAAGAGGTAGGTTCAACTTGACTGGGAGATGTTGTGTAATTTGTTGTTCCAATTTCTTGGAGGAATGGAAGTCCAGGCATCCCTGCTGGGAACAAGGAGTGGTGGCTTCCCTTCCTGTTTTGCAGGATGAAAGAGAATAAATTTTGGGAAAAGTAAGTTAAGGCCCAGAGATTGAAAAGAAGGTGTGTGGAGGCCGCATGGGTACAGGCAAATTCCCTGAGCCCCATGAAAGAAAAGTTGTCACCAAGCACAAGTACAGGCGGCCCTCAACCACTTATGACTCTGTGTGATGTATTCATGCAAGTTTCTGTGGATACTTGAAACTTTTGCTACCGTTAAGTTAAGCCCAAGTTTAGCATTTTCAGAACAAGCATTTTAGTTACACAATCATTTTGCCTCATTCATGGAACTTTAGGTATGTAGAAATTGTTTCTTCTATTTGTAATCTTCAAATATTTATATAGCCCATAACTTCCGAAGGCAAGTTGTTCCAGTGATGAATTGTTCTTATCGTCACCACAAGCCAAAGAGGCCTCTTTGGTTCATGGTGAATGACAGAAGATGCACCTACCCAAAGATGACCCAACAGATGCCATCTCTTCCCCCCAGGCCTAAGTTATAGCCAAACTCACTTAGTTCAAGGAACTAAGCATTAATGAAGAAGGCTGAGCATTAAAGGTTGAGATGTAGGATGATAAATAATCAGAGGACAGGAGGCACACCAACATCTCCCCAAACTCTTCCGCAACCGGTCAATCTCAGGGGTGGGATTCAAATTTTTTAACAACTGGTTCTGTAAGCGTGGCTTAGTTGGGGGGCGTGGCCAACTCAATATCACTCACATCGAGGCACGCATCTCCTCGCCTGGCCTCTCATGATCGTGGGGGTGCTGCAACAGTTGTAAGTGTGAAAAATGGTCATAAGTCACTTTTTTCAGTGCCATTCTAACTTTGAATGGTCCCGCCACACAAGCAAAGTACCAGCAAAGGAGGGGGGAAAAACTCCAGAGAAGTTCCAGAGACAGGTAGTCTAGTCCTGCCAAGAATGTCATAAGGGTTAATGGAGAGGCAGTTTCTGTAAGCAACACCTGAATGTTTCCTTCCTGCCTTTCTTACAGGATTAGGCCAGTAATTTCTTCTAACAACTGGTTCTCCAAACTGCTTAGAATGTTAACAACTGGTTCTAGCGAATAGGTGCGAACTGGTAGAATCCCACCCCTGCCTTAATCTCCAAAGCAATTGCAGTACATTTTATACATTTTGAAGCTGGCTGGTTTGTAGGGAAAAAGACAGCTAAAGGCAATTTAGAAACGTACAGGTAGTCCGTGTTTAGTTACTGCAATTGGAACCCACAATTCAGTTGTTAAACTAAGTGGTCTCTAACTAAAATCACCACTATGTTTATAATCATATTCCAGTTCTCCTTTGCTTTATAGACCTGCAAAGGTCAAAAATGCAAAGGCTGGTGCCAAAGTTATTTTTTTCATCACCATCACAACCGTGAATGATTGCTAAACAAGATAGTTGTTAAATGAATCTACCTGTATCACCAACTGCCTGGGAAGGTGATGAAAACTGATATTCATGATTGTGCTCTGTGAGCGGCATTGGGCATGATTGTGTGGCTACTTGCTGACGTCTTGCTATCAGAGTTAGGTGACCATGTCACCTGTTTCTCCCTCTTTTCCAGGACTTGCCTTTTTGTGCAGAAGAAGACGGGGAATTCTTTAGTCCCATTTGCCTCCAAAGGGCCACGGAACCGCTGCCAGTGTCTTGGGGGTGAGGCGTGGGCTGTAGCCTACCGACATACCCGTGTGGTGATCTGCACGACGCGTGGGGCCCCCCATCACCGTCCCCTGCACAATGGGAGTGGAGTTGCCGGAGGAGATGACGAGACATCCTCCGATTGCTCATGCCTGTGCCACAGCTATGAGAACCTTTCTTCCACCAACCAGTCCTCTCTCAAATCTCTCATCTCTACCATCTGAGGAGCTCAAATCCTGCAGTTTGTGACTTTTACTGCCAGACAGTTTAAGCAGACCTTCTTTGGTTCATTATGGACAAAAAGACTGGGGCTTTACAGTGTTTAGCCACTCAAGATGGGCGGCTGTGGCTCTATGACATAGTGGAAGTTGAAGCTTTTAGGATGAGAACCACATTCCCAAAAGCCAAAGGTCATTGGGTAACAGGACTCCATAACAATATCCCCCACATCACAGCTTTCTTTGAGGCAGGAAAAGCCTGAGGGAGTGGAGACACTCTCATCATGTCTCCTTAGGGAAGACATGTCGGCCTAATTTAATCTTTATGGCACTGGGATCTTGTAAAAAGATCCTTTTGGACAAAGAGGACTGGTAGAAATCCCCATCATACCAGAAGTATTCCCCAATGGCATTCTGGTGTAATGACAACACACCTGTTCCTTAAAACCGATAGAAGGGGGAAAACGTTGGAAGGAATGGAGGCCTGGGTATAGTACGCTTGATGAATTTTTGGACACTGACTAGGGAAAACTGGTTCTCATGTTGTGGTTGTATCATCGGTGAGACATTTAGCTTCAAACACTCCGAAGACCACAAGACCCACAGAAACATCATTTACTGAAATTTTGTAGACACACCAAAGAATGAGAAAAAGGAAAACTTGGCTGTCCTTTGTTCCACAGGTACAGGACAGATTTTGGAACTTGAAGCCTTCATTAAATTATTTTCATATTGGCAACGACGCTTCTGTGTTATAAGCCATCAGCTCTGTTGGGTTGTGGTTCAGAAATTGATAGATTTTCTGCTTTCTTGGACTGAGTAGGAGATACACTGGATTGTCCATTTTTCATTGAACGTGGCTCATTTCTGTGAGTATTTTGCCTTTAGCAATGGGGAACCAAGCGATCTTAAATAAGAGGACAGGTTCTGGAAAAAGGTGAGGGACATTGGTGCTTTCTCCTGACTTTTGCTAATCTGGTTTCAGATTCCTGGTTTCCTACTGGACCTGCAGTGTGTTTGGGAGGTAAGGTATGGTGGGGCTGTCCCTAAGGCTCTGTAAGCCCTGCAGCTGTAGCCAAGGCTTGGATGGCTATGCATCTATACTGTTCTTTACAAATTAAAAAAAGGTACAGAATATAAGGTGGCAACCAAAATCCTTAGGAGCCTTGAGAAATTCCCAAATATTTTTTTTTACAATATTGGGATGAATTTCATGAGGAGGAGAAGGTGAGCAGGACAGGCAATGACTGTATACAATTATACAGAATGAATAATCAGCAATAGTAGAAGATGAGTACATGCAGTGAAGCTGAACTGATAGAGGAAATACCAGCGTTCTTCATGTCACATAGCAAATCCTAACTAATGGGACAAAATGTGCTGCATACAAATAGTGTGTTATTTTATTGAATCATAGACTAGATTTGTGGTGATGAAGATGTTAGTAAATCCCTATGCCAAATTCTTTCAGTGTTCCTTCCCTAGTCATAATGGTTGCCAACACAGAATTGTTTAAAAGAAGGGGGCAAAGTAATCTCCTATTGTTTTCATTTCCTGTTTGGAGTACCCAGTAGCATCTGGTTAGCCACAATGTGAAACAGGATCCAGAACAACTATGACATTGATTTAATGCAGGGCGTTTCAAACTTGGCAATTTTAAGATGAATGGACTTCAACTCCCATGCTGGCTAGGGGATCCTGGGAGTTGAAGCCCACATATCTTAAAATTACCAAGTTTGAAAAATCTGTAATTATCAGATTTTTTAAAATAATGTACTATAATGTAATCCATTAGCTCTTGTAATTCTTCAGCTGAGAACGGAGTTTGTGTGTGGTGGTGGGGATTCCTGCTCCGGCTATTAACTTCAAAACAATATCCCATAGATTAGGAGTGTCAAACTTGATTTCATTGAGGGCCGCATCAGGGTTGTGTTTGACCTGGGGGAGTCGGGGGATGGCATCCCTCATGTGAGGGGTCACTCATGTGTTGGTCCAAGCACTCTGCCAGCAAAAATGGAGCTCAGGAGGGCTGCCCTCCCGAGCTCTTGTTTTCACTGGCAGAGGCACCGTGGGCTGGTCCTTTGTTGTTTCCAGAGCGGCCCTGCGGGCTAGATCTAAGCACCCCACGGGTTGCACCTGGTCCTTGGGTCTTGAGTTTGACACCCCTGCCCTAGATTTCCCCAATCTGGTGCCCTCCAACTGAGGGCCTCGTTATGCTTTTCCCAAGGTTTAGTATAAATCAGACCAACACAACAATTACAGAAATATATTATTATAAAATTAGTCGATAATTTAATAGCCAAACCTGTAAACAAAGTTTAAGGGAAACTAGGAATTACAGTCCTAGTACTTCTAGAGTATCCCAGCTTGTAAAGGATTTGTTTGAATGGGCATCCTTTGTGTGAACAGTGGGAGCAGTGTTAATTAGGGAACACTTGTGTGTGTGTGTGTGTTTTGTGTGTGTGTGTGTGTGTGTAATTCATGAACAGAATGTACAGAATGTTTCAGTTCCAATCATTTTAATTTCAGGATCTTCGACCTTGTTTACACACGTGCCTTTTGTCAATATTAGGTACCAGAGACCAGTCTTTGGAACTCTTCAATGACTTGTAAGAAGATGAGTCCAGACATTTTTAAGACTGAAAGAGAACAAGATTAAATCTAAACCTAAGACCATGACTCCGGGAGCTGTGGGTTCAGCCCTCAAGTATGTGAAAGAATAAAGAGTACCTCTGAACATCAGTAAAGTGCTTTCCCTCAACAATTAGCAACTACCTTAAGTGCCTAGGGCAGCAATGTAAAATGAGGGCTGATAGATTTGTCTCTTGATGGGCCGCACCCATTGTTGGTTAGCTCTCAGTTTTAGAATCATTTTGTAACAACTGGAAATGATTACAAGCCACAATTTCCAATTTCCTGGAAGGATGCTGAAATGGTATTCCAAGAAGTGTGGATAGCAGCCCATTGGACAGTTTTAAATACCAAACCGTGCATGGAATGGGGCCCTTTTCCACAAAATGGGACCTGGGTTAATGCCTCATTCCTTTTCCACTTTTTTTTAGGTTTGCTGAATCTCCAGGGCCTTATTTTAGAATCATTTACTACAGAGTATACATTCAAATATATTTGGTATTTGTTCAGTCCTTTCAATGAATTGAATCCATATCAGAAACTTTATCAGGCCGACTCCTCTTGTCATCCTATTGTATAGAATTGAAACTTGTTTAATTATTTAACTTATTATGAAATAATTGTGCTGCATGTATATTAAGAAAAACATAATAAAGCAGGTAGCCATTAAACTTAATTGTGTGATCTGATTATGGGCCTGGTGTGAAAATACAGATTGGTTTATTTAAGGAAACATCTTTGTATTCAGAAGTCAGTTTTGTATACAACAGTACATCTTTTTAAAAATGTTCCTACTTTAATTTAAAAAAAATGTCTTCTTTCCTGGAAGACAACAGAATCTACCATACGCAGGGAAAGCAATCGTCTTGCTGATATCAGCATTCTGGTGATGGTGTAACACAATCAGCTGACGAACCCAGCTGCTCTGCAAGCTTCATAAAAGCATGTTTCTGCTTGCATCAGGGGGAAGAGACATTTGGTTTTCCTTGACCTTCAGCCAGAGAAGCTGACGCCCCCCTCTGCATCCCTGCCTCCTACCTGGCAAGTTTCTGAAAACATTTTGCAAATCCAATTTGTGTGATCAGTAGAGAGAAAGAGGAGTTGACTTACCCTCCACCGAGAACAGCTTGCAAAACTGCCAAAATCCGGTATGGCAAGTTTCATATCCTGCCAATTCTCCAATTCCATATTATACACGTACATCTTACATCAATGTACGAGAATTGTACCAGAATTGCAGATGTACCAGAATTGCATATATTGATAGATAACCTTTATTGTCATTTTTTTATTGTGGGCACACTGGCACATACTAAAAATGAAATTTTGTTGCCTGCTCTCAAAAGTGTACACATACATACATAACACCCATATACACATTATATATATATATATACCGTATTAATATATAAGTATGAATGTATGTATAGGATACACACACACACACACACACACATATATATTGCTAAAAATATCTATTGCAGGGATGTTCTTCTGTTATCTTAGACTTTCTCAGTAAATCAACACCTTGAAACAGGTTGTATCTGAAGTACACCTTTCCTCTATTCACTTTGCATTTAGAAAGACCCCAAAGCCTATTTTATTTCAGTGAGCCTTAGGACTATATTGATTGTAGCCAATCACAGATGATTTTCATGGCTATTTTTAAATGTTATAAGTAAATCTTGCTTAATGATTATTCATTTAGTGACTGTTTGAAGTATGACAGCACTGAAAAAAACAGACCTATGACTGATCCTCGCACTTATGACCATCACAACTTCCTGCAGTCACACGATCACCATTTGTGATCTTCCCAGACAGCTTCCCACAAGCAAAGTCAATGCGGAAGTCAATAGGGAAGGTTGCAAGTTGCACTCATATGATGTCTCACTTAATGACCACAGTGATTTGCATATTGCCCAGGATAAAAAAAGGCTGTAAAATTGGGTGTAGTCATGTGATGACTCATTTAATGGCTATTTAATGATGGATTTTCTTGTTCCCTTTGCATTTTGTATCAACTACACATTGTACACTTTGGTGTGTACTATCTAGAACAGGGGTCTCAAACTCACGGCCCGCAGGCCAATTGCGGCCCACACCTGTGGCCCCCACCGTGATATGAAAGTATAATATTAGTGCAGCCCGCAGGGGGAATGGACCTCTGAAGGAAGTCCCGCCCGCCGTTCCTCGTCGTGGCTTCTTCTCCACCCTGAACTTTAATAAGTCCAAGTACAGGTCCAGACTTACTGATGATCATCTTCAAGCCATACTGAGGGTCTCAAGTGCCTCCTCTCTCAAGCCAAATGTGGCTCAGATATGTGAGAGGAAGCGTTGTCAAGTCTCTGGCAGCAAGGAGTAAGCTGGAGAAGCCATGTTCTGAGGAACTGTTCATGATCTTCATTCAATATTCCATTCATGTGTTCAGGACAGTTCATGTATTGGAGAAATCATTAACTGTTGATGACATTTGAAGATATTTTTTTAACGTTTTTTGTGGAATCCCTTATGCGGCCCAGCCTCACCCAGACTCTGCCTCCAGCGGCCCCCAGGTAAATTGAGTTTGAGACCCCTGATCTAGAACATAAACATCCATGGGGGATGGGGAGTGAAATAGGGAACAAATTATATATATTGCAACATTGTGATGCAAGCCCCATTACTTGTATATTTGGGTTAGATACTAAGATACAACTGAGCAGATTCTGTACATTGGCCTAGATATGGCTGGAGTATATTGGGCAAGATTCAAAATTGACACAATAAAGAATAAAATAATACAACTTTTTCACATGGCTAGAACTAATATAGTTGATTTCTTATGAAAATGTCGGCATTTTATGGGTGAATGGTCAAAACAACCCAGTCCTTGATTCATAAACTATTACCAATCAAAAATAAGTGAAGGAGTGCACTTCCAAACTGTATCAATTTTATATCTTTCTTTTATATAAGGAGAATCTTCTACTACTACAGTGTATTACTTGAATTTTCTCCTTTCACAATGGCAGAATGATTTACAGACTAGGTCAGGGGTATCAAATTCAAGGCCGTGGGGCCTGGATCTGGCCGTGGGGTGCTTAGATCTGGAAACAGTGGAAACACCTTGGAAACAGTGAAGGACCGGCCTGCAGTGTCTCTGTCAGCAAAAATGAATGCCCTCCCCCACATCCATTTTCACTGGCAGAAGGTTGCAGGAGGCCATCACAGCTGGGAGCCCGTTTTTGCTGGCAGACCGCTTGGGCCACCACAAGCGCCCCCCGACCCGAGTGACATCATACTGGTCATGCCCATCCCGGCCCCCCATTGGTCAAACCCAACCCTGATGCAACCCTCAATGAAACCGAATTTGACACCCCTAGATTAGGTATTTCTTCTTCAAAGTCTATTTCTGCCAAACACCCACTCTGATCTCAGATAAATCACTATCAACAGCCAGCAATTTGAGAGAAATGATGAATTAGACTACCATACAGGGCTGTTGGGAGTATTATTGAACCCTGACCTTTTCTGAACTTGATAGTCTATGCAAGATCAGATCTGGTTAGTATTTGGAATTTCAGGCCTATGTGTTCATCACAAAGCAAATGAGAAGAAAGCCTTATCAAACCAATTCTGTCTTGCTGAAAAGCCTGTAACATGCTTTGGCATTTTTAAAAGCACAAAAAACCCTCCTAAATAAGGGGGAAAGTTCTATTAACCCGTATTGAAGAAATATTATGGATTCACTCAATCCCAAAATAGTCTGCACGCTTCAAAACTCAAAGCCGTTCCCTCAGACTTTTATTTATGATGGAAACCTGCACATGCTTTTTTTAGTGCTGAATTGGCTTGTTTGTGGAATTGTTTTAAAATGGGGATAATCTTCAGGAGAAAAAGTGTCCTACGAATGATTTAAAAATTAAATACATCTTACAACACCAAACACCAAGAAGAGTAGTCATAGAATCATAGGGCTGGAAAGGACCTTTGAGGCCTTCTAGTCCCGCCCGCTACCCAAGACATGAATCCTGGTTTAATAATAATAATGCACCTCATATATTGTAATATTGTAGAGGTAGTCCTTGACATAGTTCATTTAATGTCTGTTCAATGTTACAATAGTGCAGAAAAAAGTGACTTATGACTGGGTTTGTTTGTTTTTTGCACTTAATGACCATTGCAGTATCCCCATGGTCATATGATCAAAATTTGGATGCTTGGCAACTGGTTCATATTTATAATAGTTGCCATGTCCTGGGATCATATGATCAGCTTTTGCAAATTTCTGACAAGCAAAGTCAATGGAGAAACCAAATTCACTTAACAATTGTGTTACTAATTTAACAACTACAATGATTCATTTAACAATGGTGACAAGATCATAAAATGGGGCAAAGCTCACTTAACAAATGCCTCCCTTAACGACATACATTTTTGGCCCAAATGTGGTTTTGAGTCGAGGACTACCTGTATATATATACACAGACTCAACATTAACCGCTCCAAACTCGATTGCAGAAAGTACGACTTCAGCAACAGAGTGGTCAATGTCTGGAATGCTCTGACTCTGTTGTTACATCCTCTAACCCCCACTCCTTTAACCTCAAACTAACCACTATTGACCTCGCCCCATTCCTAAGAGGTTTGTAAGGGCCGTGCATAAGTGCACAATCGTGCCTCCCGTCCCTGTCCTATTGTCTCCCATTTATTCATACTTATTTCCTGTATATTCTTACTCACGCTTATACTTAAACCTATTATCTTGTAAGCCATTGACAAATCAGATAGATAAATAAATAAATAAATAAATAAATAAATATTGTAATAGAAATATGATATAAAACAGATTATTATTAAGACTCTATAATATAGTCCTCCTTCAAGAAGACGTAGAGCTGTTGAGGCGCTTAGGTTTAACAGATTACCGTACAGTAGTTTCCGATTAATTAGGATTTAGAATCATGTGGCGTTAACCTTACACACCCTTCTGCCTACGGAGGGGCATCTTTTGCCTGTTTCGGGCTACCTTCCGCGCGCGCCGCTCTACCCAATCACAGTCCTCCCTGGGAGGAGACTGAGGGCGTGTCTCAATGCTTAAGCAAAAAGCTGACGCTTCTTAACAGCGGGCACCGATGCGAGGAGGGCCTTCGGTTATGCTAATAATAGAACGCTATAGTTTTCTCCCGGACAGTTGATAGGCTCTCAAAATAGAATAGGTGTGGTTTGCATCTCTACATCCTATAGTATTACGCAACGCAGAGAATCCTGGTTTGGACAGCCGTGCGTACCGAACTGCGGTGCAGGGATTATGCAAACGAGACGAGGGGCAGTGGGCGCGGCTTGCATAAGAAGATGCAAATACAGAAGGGCAGGGCGCGTTGCCTGCGAGAACCGCGGGCAAAGGCGGCGGGCGAAGCCGGCATCTATTATATTAATGAGATCGGTGGGCGGGGCAGAATTGTGAGCTCAGGCTGCAGAGAGGAAAAGGAGCGGGGGGAAACCTAAAGAAGAGTCCCCGCCTGCAGCGGCCCCATCAGCAACGGCAGAAGCAGGAGGAAGCAGAGCTAGAAGGATGCAGTACCCGGGTAATAGCTGACCCTGGGGGGGGGGGGGAAGCTCGGCCATGGCTTTCCTGGGGGGAGCCCGGCTCCTGGACTGGGCCAGCTCC